GCCTGAGGCATAACATCAGATGGCTTGAAGTAGCATTGTTTCCTTGTCATATCCTATGTTTTGCTGTATATTATATGTACTTTATATGTACTGTATCAAAGGACTACAGTCTGTTCAAAATATAGATGTTTCATATCCTGATCAATAACCAACACACTTTCATAGAAGCATTAACATTCTAAGGTAGTGAGCACTGCTGCTGAGGGGAAATTATTTTGGAGGTTGTTAGGGAATCATGTAGTAATAACGTCAGAGTTAAATTCCTTGTACCACAGCCCTTCTCTGTGGTCACAGTGGCAAAGACAATGACAGCCTGTGCTGATATTTCTCTTTCTGTCTCACAAGACATACATTTCAGTGAGAGCTGTGGATCACTGTGCACCATGAGAAAAAAATTTTGAAATTAATAAGAAGCTGAGTGGAATCAAAGCTGAACTGAAAGTGAGCTAGACATAAACTAAAAAGAGTCCAGTAGTTTGGTGACCATCAGCTACTGAAGTCACGCCATGCTACTGCCAGTTTTACTAAAAATCTCAGAACAGCAGGTAATCTTACTTACCATATGCTAAGCACGGTGCAGCAGATGGACCATGGCATTCTAGTCTTTTCTGTGCTTTCCTTGCGCTTGTCAATTCAAGCCCTGGGAAAAAGGCTGGTATCCAGATTGATAACACATGGATGTTCTCTAAGGGCTTTCATCAGTGCATTATTGCAGAAAGGACTGAAAATCCTTTCTCTATAAATTCAAATGAAGTTAGGGATAGTTGGTGGTTCTGAAGATGGTTTATTATGTCTGTCTCAAAGTTGTCAAAAGGTAAGTCAGCCTTTAAAAAACAGATTAGCCAGAGCTGATCAGCTGGTAGAAGAGTGCTATGGAATATCACATACAAAGTATCTCCTCAAAGAAGCTCATAAATGAAGGAAATATCATCTTATAGGTACTGATCATGGTTAGTCTGGGCACATGCCTGTTTCACTAGGATGCATGAGCCTTCAGCAACAAAATCAAGTTGTTATAATGCAGAGACTCACTGGATCTTAACTACTGAGTTTTAAATAGTCTTTTTCTTTGTGAAATAAATTTTATGTGGCAGACTCTAAATTAAATAGAAAACTAACAGCAGTGTAGCTAAGTAGACAGTTGGTGTCCTCAGAACTAAAGAGTACATTAACAAAAAATGTCTGAGATTACTATTAAAATCACTTTTAATAATTTACCTAAAGTCCTTATCTCTGTAAACAAGCTCTTTAAAAAGTGAAATTTAACATTATTTATTCTGCTTCTACCGTCTTTTATAAATCTGAGGACCAAGCATGCTCAGGGACCTTTAATAAGTATTAAGTAGTGTGGCAAGTATTTTTTCAAGAAACTAATTAGACAATCCATAGCATTTTCGAGGTGAGTAAGGAAGGAAGATAAAACTTCTGTTATCATATCCTTATGTTTATTATCAGATTTTAAAGTTACTACCCAAATTTCTCTGATTCACTTTGCATATTTATTCTAGCAAAATGATAACGTAAGAAGGCTTAGAGGACTGCTTGGGGACACCTCTTCAGTGGGTTCAAGGTGTTTTTGGCTAAGTACAAAAAAGAGGAAGGCACCCAGTGCTATTACCTCTGAAGCCTATCCTTTCCCACTGGAGGCGTCCAATGACTGCCAACCACTCGAACATGGAAATGTCTTGATATTTTCTTTGTTTTAATGCCCTGCACAGAGCATTAAATTCCTGGCCACTTCTAGTGACAGATACTGATTTTAAAATATGTTTGCTCTGATCCAGAGCAGTTTTAGTGACATTACTCATCCTTTAAAGCCAGTTAATCTTCTGGCTGCCTAGTGAACTGAAGTAGCTTCACATGGAAGGGGCAGGTAATTATGAGAGTCAGTGCAAATGGGTGGGAAAGAGCACATTGTATGAGGAGAGAGACTGGGATCTTGGCAAGCATGAGCTGAGTTGACTTAAATTGCCATGGGATTGTAGACTCCTTTTACACACCTGGTTTCTAAAGTTATTTTTACACAGGAAAGAAATAGCATTTTAAAAGAAAGCAAAGATACCACTCCCTGTGACATTCAGCTCCTGACTCCCCCTCATGAAGCAAGGTCCTTTGTGGACTTCCTGGTCTCTGTAGTCTTCTCAGCCTGTCCTGAAACCAGCAGCAGTGATCTGTAGGACTGCCATTAATAAAAGGTCTCTCCTATCACAGGGTTCCAGTAAATTCCAGCATGAGAATAGATCAGCTATCCAGGGAGTAAATATGTACCCTGTGGTGCTTCCATAACCTGGGTTTGAGCAGTGGCTGGACTGGCTTGTGACACTGGGTTTCCAGTTTCTCTGTGGTCTGTACAACATTGAACCAATGAGCAGTACCCAATAAGAACTAAATGGTATAGAGAGATTTTTCACAAGGTCACAGCATAGTTGAGGTTGGAAGAAAAATGCAACCCCCACTGCTCAAGCAGAGACACCCAAACCCAGTTGCCCAGGACAGTGTTCAAATGGCTTTTGAATATCTCCAATGATGGAAAATCTACAACTTCTCTGGGCAACCCATGCCAGTGCTTTACCTGCACATTATAAAAGTGCTTCCTGATGTTCAGATGGTGGTCCTGTGTTTTTAGCTTGTGGCCATTTTCTTTTAAAAATCCTGGACTATTATAATGAAACATGTTGCTAAAAATGGTCTGTCTTTTTTATTCTTAGAGATTGTGGCAAAAAAAAAAAAAAAAAAAAGGAAAAGAATCCATTAACATAGGGTATATGCATTCCCATCATATCTATTCCACTTCCCTGAAGAAAATGCATTATAGTGGGTTAATAGTAAATGAATCTCTGATCTCCAGTTATAAGCCCTTTATTTACCTATGTACTAATTTCTGAAAATACAATTTCAAATTCACCTCTGATAGTCCTTTATACTGCAAAATATTGTCCTATGTATTTTAAATAGCAGCTGGGACAATCTGATAAAAATACACAGAAATATTATTTGTTTTAATCCAAATATTTACCAGAGCTGTGAGCCTATAATTTTAGAGTGCAGAAAATGGGAAACATGCAATGTCTTTAGAGAACTTAAAAGCCACAAGTTAACAGCTGCAACTTCATGTAGCTGTGCATCACTCTGAAATCATAATTTCAAGCTAAGAATGCTCTTCCCAGACTGAACACTCATGATCAATTTGAATAGAAATTATTCACTCAGAATTTGGGAAGCAAAGCAAAGAATTTGAAGTAATTTATTCAGAAATTTCTCCTAAAGAGGAAAGTACCATAAGGTCAGGACTTCACAAACTGGTTATGAGCACTGAGGCAAAATCCCCATTAAACTAGGAGAATGTTTTGGGTGATGTGTTGTATCTGTATATTATGAATCAGTTTTGACATTTTCTCTTCACTGGGTTATGTCAAACATTGCGTTGAAGGCTTAGTGAAAGTGAATCAGTCTCCTGCTCTTTTAGTCTTCTTAATATACATTATAATGCCTTTGAACCTTCTTTCGTCTTCTGCTGTTCCTGACTATTCTTCTGTGCATTTTTGAACCAGATTTGTCTAAGATATAGCCTAAATTTATCCACATCTCTCCAAAATTGCAAATGATAAGCTGGAGTTAAGCCAGTTGACTTTAACAGGAATGTGCGTAGTCGTGCCTGGTAGATCACAGTCTCTGTGGCTCTTCTGATCAATGCAGAGAGATATTAATTTCAAATGCATATTTTGTGCTTGGAGGTAACTTTGACCTAACTAATTTGTCTCTTTCATTGAAAATACATCTCAGCCTTCAGTCCGTTTGTAGTCAGGACTATATGAAGTATGACCCAAAGCTGCCTGGAATATGTCTGCCCACCTGAAGACCATGCAAAGGTTAAATTGGATAAAAACTACCTGTTTAACTCTATTAGATAAGTTAAATTTCTGTCTTTTTGTCTGGATGTAGGCAAGATAAATGGGTCTTATACAGGGAAACAGTGAGTTGTAATGTAGCTACTGCAGAGAATTTCACATATGCTCTGCTGTGTTGTGCTGGCAAGGCTCCGATGCAGCATGAAGGGCACACATTGCTCACAGTGTTAGCACATATGATTAAAGATACAGCAAGACAAGAAGCAGTCTCTCAGAAGAATTTTAAAAACCACTTATTTAGAAAAAACAGTCCTTCCAAATCGTGGAACAAAATAAACAGCCCATGGGGAACACTTGGTCTTCTTTTAATCTGAACTACCAGCCACTCTGCTGCCATAGCCCAGAATATTCAGATATTCTGGACACCTTCCAAAATTTTTGTCTCCATCAATCTCTAGATGATGGTTTTAAAATGGTTGGGATTTTTTTTACTTCACTTCTTTTTTTTTTTTTTTTTAATTCTCGTTTTAAAATACTTTTCAATTTGCTTTCATTGTATTTTGTTATGAATCTTTAAGAGCCATACAACATATAATGCATGAAAATATTAATTTCCTGAATTAATTTCTTGTCACTTATTGAATGAAAACATGAGCTATATGTTTATCCCAGCAATAACAATACCGTTGTTGTTTTCTTGAGAGCAGATGCATCCATTACCAAATGAAAGCGAAAGTATCACAACTATTTTCTATGACTTCTGAAGCATCACCACTTCTTGGTGATGAAATCACCAAAATCTTTCTTATAATTTTATTCACCTGTCCGTTTTTTTTTTTTGTTTTAATGACGACTCTGCTTTTTTGATATATCTGGTTACAGTAGGCTTTTACAGTCATGCTTTAACCTCACAGGTAGCTGCATTAATTTAACAAAGTGCCACAACAAACAGCAACACTGTTCTCTGAGGTGCACATTACATGAGATTCCTAGAAGGATAAGCTTTTTAATAAACCCTGCCTCGCCACATGTATCACTTTTCTCAACTGTCTATAAACCAAGATTACCTGGGCATATCTCTCTCACACATACCTATGATTTGTCTAAGCTAAGGGACCACACTGACATAGATCAAGCAAAGGTGAAAAGCCATTGCACATATAGGTAATTTTAATCCATTCCATTTTTAAATACCACAATAAATTTAATTTTCACAATAAATTAAATAGCCATATTCAGTTTACAAAATAGAATTACTTAGTGTGAAACCAGTATTTACAAACATTGTACACTATGTACACCATGTTTAGCTTTGTCGACACACAAGTATAGAAGAAAAAATTATTTGACCTTTTCTTGACACATGATTGACATGCTACAAGTGACACTATGGTCCATACGATAAAACAATAGTGCAAACTCACCACAAGAACTCTAAAATAATGTAGTTTGTATGAGATAAGATATTAATTTAAAATAATAAGAAAATAGTACTATTCACTCTCATTGTAAAAATTCAGCACTGTGTTTAAAGTGTCAGTATTCCTTTAGCAATACACATACCAAATATAGCCTCAAGATTATGCTTTCTCACAGCTTTACAGACTTTTGACAAGAATTTTTATGGCATAAACTAATGTTCTGCTTAGATCAATAAGTATGTCACATAAACACTTTACTAAGCAAGAGGAACACTGACCCTTTTAACAGTGTCTGACTTTGTTTCCCTAAATACTTCCTTTCCCTTTATTATTATATCTTAAAAGATGCAACTATATTGACATTAAATTTATGTTAGTTACTACTCTGTAGAAAAAATCGATCCCACCATATATTTGGTCACACACTGCAATATGTACATGTATGCATGAAAAAAGTTACTTTGCTAGTCGTAGCTATGAAAAGTGCATATTTCAGCAGAGACATCCTATTGCATGCCTCATGTGCAACAGAAAGTGTTTGAAGTTTTGTTTAGGGCCAGTTAAATGTCCTCCCCGTGATCTGGTAAAATTTTTGATTAAAAGGATGGAAGAACTTGCGCAATTTGGTAATGACAGAGGTGTCCACCTCTGGATGGATGCGTCCCTTGCTACCCGCCAGGCACTTGTTAAAGACAATGTTAAATCGCAAGCAGTAAAACCCTCTGGTGGCATTGAAGTATAAATTGTACTGACTTATCCTCGGAGGAAGATTTAGGAACTTCTCAACCAGCTGGAGTTCAGGCAGTGGTTCTGTGATGAGCCGGTCTCCGTCCACAATATGAAACTGCTCGATTGGGAAGTATTTTAACCATCTCTCCAGATGTTTTGTATAGATGCTGGTTCTCACTGCCTTATACTTAGTGTTCACTTCGCAGGTATTAGGATCAATTGCCAGCTTCTCAAATTTGTAATACGTTTTGTTCTTTCTTTCCTTGCCTTCCAGCACCTGAGTGTAATCAGAAATAGCTCTTGTGGTAGGTTCCCTGACAATGATCAATAATTTGATAGATGAGTTCATTTTGTAAATCCTTTCAGGTACTTCCTCAGTGATAAAATACGCAGGGCTTTTCTCAATTGTTATTTGATGAGGGTAAGAAAAAGGCATTTTTTTCCGGTACCACTCAATTCCCTTGGCATAGTTTTCATCATTGTCAAAGAAGTGAATCTCTTGAGAAGCTTTGACCACTGCAGGGTGAAGGTTCAGCATCTCCAGTAGTGCTCGGGTGCCTCCTTTCCGCACCCCAATGATAATGGCCTTGGGAAGTTGCTGAACCAGATTGTGCAGTCGAATTTGTTCCTTGGTGGCATTGCCCTTTCGAAATTCATGGAGCAGACCTCGCTTGAACTGCAGGGCTCGCAATGGGATTTCGTCCTGGCTGCGGGATCCAAAACGACCATCAATGGGGCAGAGGGGCTGCAGTCTGCAAGTAAAATAAGAGGTACTTGTAGAAAGAGGATATCTTTCAAGACAAGTTTTATGTACAAGGGAATCATGCTCTTGGGAACATATTCAAATGTAATGTGATATGTTCATCTTTCAACTTTTATTTTATTCTGCCAATGGTTAAATAATTTGCAATTTTTTTATTATTTAATTGGGTTTTTTTTAGCTGTGATTTAACTGGGAAATTTCTAACTTGACCCGTCTGTCCTTTGCCAGCATAGGAACTATGATTACTGGTCTTGGGTCTTCTTAAACCTTGCCTAAACTTCCACATTCCTCATTATTTTGTGATGAGTTTGGCAGTTTTTAAAGCATTCTAGGATTAATTATATTTGCACATTTTGATCTGAAGATCCACCTGATTTAAGTAATCTCTTTCCTACACTTTTATCATTCTAGCCTGAAGTCTTCCCATTGTGCTGATCCAGAGATGGCTTTTTTAGTGAAGAGGAGAAAAAGGGATGAAAACTGGCTTTCTAAGTTTCATCTTTCAATATTTCTCCTCCACTTTACAATATGTCCAGTGTTTCACTGCCAGTCAGAACCAGAAAGTTCAAGGTTCTGATTCAGATAAGATTAGCAAGGTGCAAAAAGAATGGCAAGAAGAGTTTTAAAATATGCATTTATTGCATTGTTACATCAACAATTTTCTTATAATCACTCTTGTATCCTCCCACTGAACCTTATTTTTTGTTTTATTATGTCTTCTTTTACAACTGCATTTTTGCACTATTCTTTTATATTCAGCTACAATTATTTCCCCTCTTTTCTACTTTCTAATTCTTTGTTATTGTATCTAATACCACTGGATCCAAGAAATGGTTCAGTAAGAGAAATGTTAAAATTTTACTTCTACAGAACCTTGATTAAACTCTCATCTCCACTCTCAAATCATCACTTTGGACATTATACAGGCCAATATTTCACTGAAGATTAACTTGGTGTGTAGACAGAGCTTCCAAGGTCCTACAAAAAGTATTATTACTAATTTTTTGGAGCCATGCTCTCCAAAATTAAGGATATGTAAGAACAAAGGTTGCCTAGGAAATTTTAGTGTGAGCTTGCTGTGCACATATATTATGATACAGTTCTTAAATTACACAGCTGCATGCTATTATTTTTCACAGGACCCCTGCCTTAGCCAGTATACCAGATGGGCAATGCTCATTAATAGCTGTTTAGGTATTCAGTATTTATTCTAGTTTCTCAGCATGTGGTCCCTCACTCATTTACTATATATTATTCAAACCCTGCTTTCAGGACATAATTATTTATTTCTTTGCAGGTTTTCCATCCATCATTTCTTGTTGGGGTCTCTAATTTGACACTGATTCTAGGACAATGGATAGCTGGGACAAAGTAAGTTTGATCCCCCTGGCTGACCTGGTAGCTGCTTCCTTGATTATGCAGATGCTGAGAGATATAGCCTGTCCAGACAGAGCCAAAGAAACAATCCATATGACATTGCTGGGTTCACATGAGCTCTAGCTAAGTCCTGCAGACTAATTAGAAAGTGTGATGAAAAGCGAGTTCCTGTTATTTCTTTTCTCAAGTGTCTAGCTTCTTCTGTCTCTTTGCTCTCTGCCATCTACTGAAAAAGCCTGACTTGGTGGCAAGGACTGAATCATTGAAAAGCTGATGCAAACCCACCCATATTGGGGAAAAAATAAAAAGGAAGAAATGCCTTAACAATGCTACAAATTGGTCAGACTGTGGTGTGGCTGATGAGAGTCTTAATGCATCAGCAAGGTGGCAGTTAAAAACATAAGAAACAGAAGCTGCAATTGCTGTCTCTGTTCTCTTCCCTCTCCTTCTGCATATTTGTTTTTTGTTTTCAAGCAAAGAGATTCCACAACAGCAGTTCCAGACCCATCTCAACTAATTTTATCTCTAGCTAGCACTGCCTTCAGTGTAACACAACAGCTTGTCAAACAGGGTGGTTTCCTTTGAAAATAAATAAATACTCATGATATCCTCTAGCCTAAGGGAAAAGATTGGATGTTGTTAGAAGTCCTTCCTCAGCTTTTATATTTCAGGATTTTTTACTCCTTCCCCTTGATTCTACTCTCTAAACAATCAAAAAGTAACTTTTAAAAGATCTTGGCAGTGGTAAGTAAAGGGCAGATCCTCATAGTTTAAACCAAGGTGTAACTATTTACTCTTACATTGCAACATGCTAATATTCTTAATTGTCTGAGTAATTTTCCCGTTAAATAACAGTTCTTTGCTAAGAAAGAGTACATGGCACTTATTATATCACTGAGTTGCTCTCCCAGGTAATTTCTCAAGCTGCTACTGTAAAACACAATTCTTCTTGAGAGAACTCACCATGAGCCAATTAATCTCCAGGAACTGCATTTCTGAAAAGTTTCAAAACAGCTGGAGTAAATCTGGCAATCTTAATGACCTGTCTCACCTGATCCAGAATACTTGTTAATTTTCTTGCAATGAAGGTGTCACAGCAGCAAAAGATTATAAACCTGGTTCCAGCAGGAGTATTTTGTAGCATGGAAATCAGATGTGGAGGCTCCTGGTACTGCCAGTAAGGGAGTCAGGTAACTCAGTGACTAATCCAGATATGCTCAAAATTGCCACAGAATCTATTTGAGCTTCCACATATGAAGCAGATCCATGCACTCAGGAGCTGAAGGAAGGTGGCCTCCCCTGGAGGGAAGTGCTCATCTTATCAGATTTTATGACTCAATGAATCATATAAACTAGTGGTAATTTCCCTTTGGGCCTAAGGAAACTCAAGACACTGCCATTGGAGAGCCTAATCTGAGGCTATTAAACAAGAGCCATCCCCAGCTCTCTTGTTCAAATTAGATCAGCATAAATTAAGCATAAATGAGTCTGGATTTCTTCCTGATCTATTAGTTATTCCAAAGTCTGTTGAAGCCACTCAGCATCCTTTTACTGAGAGATTCAACAATGATGAAGCAGAAGAATATTTCTAGTTAATTCATCCGTGTCTTGTCCTTTCTAGTACTTCTTTCTCTCTATTTCATAACAACTCCATACACAGGTCTGCTTTTTAGCAGTGTGGTATGCTTCACACTGGGTAAAGCAAGAGAACAAAACTGAATTTTACTGCTGTTGGCAACATTATGTATGAAACCAGTGGAATTCATTGCCACAGGAGGTCAATGAGTCAAATACTGTGGAGAGATAATTTTATAGCCATCAGTAAATTCTGAAGATGTGCAAGCATAGATAATTGGAGAAGGTTAATTAGACTTCATGCATCTGAGCATAAAATATATTTTTGCAGGGACCAGTAAGGATTTCTTCCTCCATTTACAGAATCACAGTCTCAGTGAAGTTTCTACTTCTGAAGCATCAGTGGACCATTAGGGGAAAGAAAATATAAATTCCAGGGCTTAATTTGCAATGCACTTGCTCCTAGCTGAGTACATGGCCTCCTTCCTCTGGAGTGGATTTGAGGAGTGGAAGAAGGCACCCAGTGACTGCCAATGGGGCTCACCATTAACTAGCAATGGACAGTAGCTAGCTATGTTTTCACTTTCCAAACACTGGGTAGTCACACAGCATTGTGTGACAATTTTGAAGTCAACAATATGTTGCATCATTTAAAAGAAGGAAAAGAATATAGCATTAACACTTGCAAACTGTCTACCTGCTTCCGGAAATCTTGTAGGTTTTTTTTTTAATTCATTCTTTCTAAACAGCTTTCTTCTTTTCCTTGTTTGTTGTTTTTTTTTTTTTTTTTTTTTATTATTTTTTTCTTTTGAGTGTGTTGTGCCTTTGTGTAGCACCTACCACAGCAATCCCAGGCCATTTCAAAGCTGACAGGAACAGCAGTGTCAGTGCAGCTAGCACTACTGTTGCATTGTCAAAAACCAGTCAAAACTCAGCCTGGTCAGAAGTGCCAAACACTCTTTGATTTTCTCTGCTGTGCTTTCGACTACTCTCCAGGAAATCATTTGCAGAGAAAACCTACTTATTTAGCACATTCAGCTACAGAAAATACTAGCTAATTAACATAGTTAAAATTCTCAAACCCTGAAGCAATCTTTCAAATGAAATATATTCAAAATTTGATGAGCTGCTCTGCAGGCTCATACTTAATTTTAACTACCACTGTAGCACATTAATTGCTTGCTCACAAATTTAAAAAAGGAGATGTATAAATACATCATAACTGTTTTGCTGAAACTAGAGGTCAACACACAGATGTACACAGGCAAAATGAGCTACTGTAATGACATTTTTACTGGATGCTGGTTTATTTCTTCTCTGAAAACAAGTGTCGGTGTGCTTAGAATACAAATGGACAAACAGAAAAACTTTGACACGGATGACTGTGACTATTTTCCTATTCTCTTCTCCAAAGGGTAGGAATAAATAATGAAAACCACTATTAAAATAACCAGTCTTTCTGTCCTCCCATACAAATAGACTATAAGAAAAAAACCCCAAAACCAACAACAAATCAAAAAACAAAGCATGAAAGCAATCAGACCCTTGAAGCAAAAACTCAGACAATCCTAGCCCATTCTCCATAAGAGAGCAGCTACTTAATGACTTACCTATCCAAACTCCCAACTCTGGCAACTAGATATAGGAGACTTCCAATAGCAAGGCTGCCTAGCACAAAGAGCTTCTGTCTCAGCAACGCCTGCTGTTTGAATAGCATGGCCCTCCATCAATCTTCAGGACTTCTTCAGTCTGCAGAGACAAGAACACATAAAACACTCATCAGAAAGCTTAGCATGTGCAGGGCAGTGTTTAATCAGGTGTTGCACCTGATTAGGCCATCCTTGCAAAATCTTTGCAAAACTGCAAAATAAGTAGTTAAACTTCCTTTCTATGTTTGCTACCAGTTTTCAGTCCCACATGGCAATGTATCAGGGGTAGGATGATAAGTCTGGAAGTGATGGTTCAGCTGCATCCAACATTACTAGGTCTGTCAGATAGCCACAATGTAGGTCTTTACTGTAGAAGCTCTTATTTTAATGGGATATCTTGTTAGGTAAATATGTTTATATTTTAAGCCTTTTGGAATCAGACAGATTTAGATTTAAACAGAGATTTTAATGCCCTGATGTAAAGTAAAGCTGCAGTAACTATGAGTTAGGCTTGCAGGTCCTGTGTACAGTTTACGGAGGCACATTTACATTATCTCTATGATTATTAGAGTGTATGCTGGAGAGGAATCTAAAAAAAGAGGTCCTGATCCATGCTAGCAAGTCAATTATGACAGAACTGAGAAGCAGGTAGCTGGGGTGGGCACAATAATGATTTTTCAGCATCAGTGTATTCTATCATCTGTGCCTGTGCTGTGCCTGTCACCTCAAGACCTGATGGGACACAAACTTTCACCTTTGAAACAAGCATGCCTACATCCCCAGTTTTTAGCAATACCTAAACATATATTTATATATCTTTTTCTGATGTGCTTCAGAGACCATCTAAATCCCATAGTTGAGTATTGCTTCAAACACTATAGTTATTGAGGCAGTCAGGAGTAAAAATACGTGATCTTGTGCCAAGAGGATTTAACCAGGAGGTTTTTAGCCAAGGCAGAAAGAAGTGCTGAGTAAAACTGTTTGTCTTTAGTTTGACTCTTCCTCGAGCGTTACATTTATGTTCTGGACTGGATTACATGTGTGATCTGTGCAGACCTCTTTAGAATCTCAGACCTGGATTCCTAATATATTCTCACATGAACTGAGGGGAAAGATCAGGTCCTCCTTTCAGAGCACAGTCAAAGATGACATGGTTCTTCATTCTATACCAGTTCTGAGCTTTCTTGTAGATATGCAGGAGAATTAAGTTTCAATAATTTCACTGATTCAAGAGGAGTAAAGCCATATCATCTACATAAAAGAATGCTTTCATCACAAAATGGTAGAAAAATCATAAATATAAATTGTAATAATCTGAAATACTGATCCAAAGTCTCATTCCCTTTATCAGGGAATATTTATTGTATTATGGAGTAGTTTGAACAAAACCATTTTTTTCTAAATTTTGGTTGGACTTATTATGAACAATTTTTGATGTCAAGTTTCTTAAGTTTTACTATAGCAAAATTTCTTCTGCAGCACATTTTCTTCTTTTTCAGCCCTAGGATTTACATAAACCAAGACTGGGATACATTATTATAAGCATGAAACTATATAGAGAGGCAGAATTTTTGGTGAGATTCCAAGGTTTGGCTGGCCACTGCTAAACACAGCCTAAAAACATCTTTCCATTCTGGAAACATATTTTTCCATTTCTGCCCATGATGTTAAATTTTTGGCTCAGAAGGCTCACTTAAAAATCCAGGAAACATTCAGGGAGATAATACAAGCTGGAAGCCTTTCCCAGCAGGCAGCACTCATGTAGCCAGCCTGCCCCAGGGCTGGCTGGGTTTAAAGGTGCAGATGCAGGTCATTCCAAACTGGTTTTCTTTCAGCATGGCTGAAGAGCCATTCTGAATCACATTTATTTTACTGCTATAGAGAAAGCTTTCTAATTTCAACCCACCATCTCTTGATAAAAGAGCCATGCAACAATGAAGTTCTGAGTCTGACTTGTCTCTAAAATACTTCCGGTGCAATAATAATAACTCCTTTTACAGCCAGGTGACAGCTCAGTACAACCTATCATGCAGGATAACTAACCATAAAGAATATATTGCTTTTATGTAGATAAAAGCAACTCTATAATAAGAATTCTTAGATAAGATCTTTATTGAAACAAGAATAATATAAAACACAGAGTAAAAGAACTTTGCAATGTAAATAGAGAGACAGAAGAAGTATTATCATCCTTTAAGAAATAAATGAGGAGCAGAGGTACAGAGAGATTAAGTGATTTGCTCAGGGTCACAGAGAAAACCTGTAGTGAGATTCAGTCTGAAATAATTTCTTTCTAGTGCTTTAACTACATGGTAAACTTTTGCCTTTTTGTAATATACGTTTTTTTTCCCATAAAAATAATGTATAAATGAGGAATTCTATACATTGAGCAAGGCAGAAAATACGTAGTCAAAGTTGAACTATTAAGAAAAATGCACAGATGTTGCACCTCTGTGTACATATGTTACTAGTTACTCTTTTAACAATTTAATTTAAAAAGATGAAAGAGAAGAACATGAAGCAGAGAATGAATTTTCATAGGTCCCAGGTTTTAAATATTTCGGTGCTGCTCCCTCTAAATGAAGGTTTATCTTCAGTGCCACAAAAATGAACTTTGTCTCTCAGAAAACATATACATATGCAGCCCTCTATACCTTAAACTAGAGTTTAATTTTCCATGTGTTCTCCTTTATACAGGCTCTTGGATCCCACTTCAATCCTGCCTGCAAGCCTTAGTGAGTCTGTGGAGGTCATCAGGCCACAATAAAATCAAATTAATGACAAGATATTTCCTGAAATATATTCCACAAGGCCTCGTGACCTCAATATTAATGTTTGAAATTAGAGTCAAGACAAAAAAAACAACCAACCAACCAACCAAACCACAAAACAAACACAAACAAAGCAAATCAAGCAAATCAATCAACCAAAAAAGCTCAAACCAGTTCCAGTTTTATATTTGCACGTACCTAAGTACAGAAAACTTTTCTACAGAATGACAAGTACTAGGCACACACTAGAAATGTAAAGATGACACTATGTATTTGTTTGTTTCATTTTTGTTTTCATTTTTAGCATCTAATTTAAAGGCCATGGAAGGAGTTTTATTCCAGAGAGATGGTCTCAATAAAACTTTCCCTAGATGTTAATGTTTTCCTGAAAAAAACATAGAAGAATATTATCTTAACTCCAGAAAAGGCTACACCTTTCAATGGATATACTGAGACAGTTCTGTGTGCCAGAGGAGAGGGCTGATAAAACATTTCTATTTAAGACAGAGTTAATACAACCAGAATGTGATTAAGGTGAAGGTCTCTAAGGCGAAAATGTTGCTGGAGACTAATATGGCAACACTTAAATGAAATGGAAAGAAGAAATGAAAAGGAAGAAATTAAAATTCTGGGAAGTATTATCAGGTGTACAAAGTTTTCTGTAAGGAATGCATACTTTTAAACTTTACAAGAAGCTGGAAGGCAAGATAAAATGTAATCCAAAGTGACAAGACTTTTAGCAGTTATTGGAGGCAAATAAGGGTGTTTTTAAAAAATTTTGCTCTCTTTTAGGGGCATGAGCTGAACTGTCACAAAAGCTACTGACCAGTGGGAGGAGGGTTGGGAGAAAGTTGCAGGCAGAATCTTCCCAGTAGTTGAATGTTGAATGTAGAACCTCCCACCCAAAGAGATGAAGCACGTTGTTGCACAGCTCCAGTGGGCTTACAATTAAAATATCTGTCTTGGACAATTTAGTTAAATATGCATACAAGAAAGTTCTTTTGTGGCTATCTGAGAGAGTCATAATGCACAAAGAGCAACACAAATTACTGAATGCATGATTTCTAGAAATGTGTTAAACATCATGTGTTTCACATTAAAAATGTGGTTTGTAAATTGTGTGTAAGTTAAAAGTGAAATGCAGTTTGTGATTTCAGATGTACATGTGATCTGAATTATTATACTGACATGGTACAGTTCAATAAAGAAACATGAGAAAGTGGCCTTACCAGTGTATTGATGTGAATGCCTCATTTAACCCCTTTCCCTACATACCCATTTTGCTGGTGAGAGGACCAGGGTTATTGAGTGAATTGCGAAGAGACAGTACAACTATGCAGAACTCTTATGATAATACCAACTGAAAAATAGATGGACTGTTCCTGACAAGATGAAGGGATCATGGATAAATGTAGATAGTGGGTATGCCAGACAAATAATGTAATTTTATTATGGACTGTTGTAAAAGTTAGTTTTTGGTTCAAATTAGATCAAAGTCAAATGAGTAGGAGAAAACAGATGAAGCATACTAGTAATGATGGCATTACTGACAAAAATCTGAATTGTGCAGAAGCACAGAAAAGAGAATCTGCTGCTATAATCACTTATTCCAAATAAACAGACAATGAAACAAGAAATTGCCAGGAACTTGTTTGCAAATGATCAAAGGGAAATTTTCGGACACATGGAGCAGACATGAGAAGATGTTATAGATAAATTAATAGCATGTGGATGGAAGCATAAGAAACAACAACATAATCTTTTCTTTTTGCAAACAGGCTGAAGAGATACAGTCCTGATAGAGTTATGTGATTAATCAAAATGAAGCAAAAACCAAAGGCAAATATGCACAAAGGAAGCTAGAAAAAGAATAAGTAGGATGTGATTTTTATTAGAATTTGTTTGGCGTGTTTATTTATTTTTAATTTTTCACACCAGCAGGGGTCAGCTGTTGACCAACAAATATTTGTTGTCGTACACTGCAGAAAGATCTCTGAGTTTATAGGAGATTTAAATACAGTGATAGGAGACAAGTCAGGGGACTTATCACTGGGCATGTTTGCATTATGTCTCTTGAATGTTAACTACAGTTTCTTCCACTTCTCACTGTCAATAAAAATCAAGCACCTAGACTTTTTCTGGGGTATGAAATCATATAGTGATTGGGAGACGAGGGAATTTATGCCTCACACTGGGCGCATTCTCCCCAGCTCATGGTCTTAGTCATGGTCTGCCTGGAGGAGTCAGTGATGTTACTGCTCCTTCTTCTCCTCCAGGTCCTCCCCACTCCCTTTTTTCTGTCTCACTGGTCTGGGCTAGTGGCAAGGAA